GTATTGATGTGTGTGATGTACTGATGTGTGTGGTGTATTGATTGTTGTGTCAGGTGTATTGATGTGTGTGATGTACTGATGTGTGTGGTGTATTGATTGTTGTGTGTGGTGTATTGATGTGTGTGATGTACTGATGTGTGTGGTGTATTGATTGTTGTGTGTGGTGTATTGATGTGTGTGATGTACTGATGTGTGTGGTGTATTGATTGTTGTGTGTGGTGTATTGATGTGTGTGATGTACTGATGTGTGTGGTGTATTGATGTGTGTAGTGTATTAAGATTTGTGGTAATTCAAGTCTAAGCTTCCTTTCACATGAATAACTACAAAGTTATTCAATGTTGACATGTAATTTGAGCTTGAGTGTCGCACACGCGTATTCCGTGACACGCAAGCGTGTTGTCCTCGACTCAACCGCGCAATTAGTTCTTCGTTCGCCACGCATCAATGCTAACAGAAAATTTCCGAGCGTAGAAATTTAAATAAATAATTTTGCTGCACACATTCTGACATCCTCAGGTCCTTATGCGTGATTGATGGATCATTACCCATACAATATGTTCAGGGTTAGTTTTTTGGTCGTCGTGCATATTGTTGAATCTAAACCGTGTCATATCGCAGTGGTTGTACTGCAGCTGTTTTGCAGTACAACTATACAGCGTATAATGCGCAGTACCACGTATAATGCGCAGTAGAAACAGTATAATGCGCAGTAGAAACAGTGTCTTCTGCAAACTGCAGGCAACACGTAGCGTCTTGTAATTATAATGCTCGATAGTAAGATTATACTGCGGCGCAAAACAAAGGTGTAGTAGAATATACTGTTTGAAAATGTATAGTGCAGTATGCAAAACATCGTTAAATGCTTGAGTAATCCACACAAGATATATTGTGCAAGCATATCCTGTTTCTACACTGCAGCACACAAAGCATCCTGTGCAGAGAACTGCAGTGTACTGTACTTCGGAGAACTACACTGCCGCACGTTGCATTACACAGCAGTGTGCTATGTATGCTAGCAAGAACGTAGACGACATAATATGTGACCCGTATTTATTTATGTATATATTGGCTTAAATTTGCTTAATATAAATAACATAGAAAATATATCAAAATAATGACTGATATATTTATAATAACATAAAGAATATATCAATATATTGCCTATGTTAGCATAAATAACGTGAGCACGCTAAGACCGCAAGTTAAATATACCTTCCCCCAAAGAACAGCTGATCGCTGGCGCTTATACACGATTAGCGAAAAAGATGCCTAATTTCAATCTTTAGTTTAAATTTTTATTATCATGTTGAAATTTTTCGAAATTTTAGCAATAGAATGCAAGAGAAAAAGAAAGTAAAATAGAAATTTTCAACTTTCAACAATTTTCTCAATTCCAAATGTCACCAAAAATCACTATTCAACCGTCAGTCTTCAATTACGTACCAATCAGCAAGCATCACCTTCCAACAACCACTTTTATATACACCATTAGTCTTCCACCATCTCCTTCCAACAATCACTTACATACACCATCAGTTTCCCAGCATTACCTTCCAGCAATCACCATTCAACCATCAACAAACAAGCACAACATTATCGTTCATCACCATCCTGCCAGCACAACATATATATCTACCCTCTTTTGGTCTTCACTAATTAGTACGTAAGAATTTCCTGAAAAATTAAAAAAAAAAAAACTACGCAGTTCCTCAGCTGCCCAAACACTGCCTACCGCCGTAGGTGAATTTTTTATTTTCCATTTGATTTTACTTTATTTTTATTGAGTTCGGAGAACTCAAGGTGATTGTATGACTCGCAACTTATCCACCCTGTGTAAATGAAAGGCGAATGGTTACGTAAGCGATCGGTAGCGAGGACGGTAACTAATGTTGACATATTACTGCTTAAAGGTAAGAAAATTATATAAAAATTATATATAAAACTGATGAGAGATAATACACACATGTGAAGATTTTCATAGACGGAGATATTTTCGTCTAGTTTTTATGAAGTTGTTCATCGTGAAAATGCAGATCGATGCTG